AGGGAGATATCAAAAGGACACAAGGCAAGTGATATTGCACTGTGATGAGAAGACCCACTGTGATGAGACAGACTAGTTAACAGCGGGCACAATGCCTTGTAACTGCAGGGATTGGGGCTATCAAGAAATGCGTTGATACATGCAGCAGCTATGAAGTAGGAAAAATAAAACCATTTCCCATAAAGATGAGATGCATCATTCACTCAACTGCTCTGGCTTTCCTCAGGGCTGACCAAGCCAGTGACTTCAAGCAGAGGTGCACCTGCATGCACCTGAGGACAGAATTGGGTTAAAGAGTTCAAAAGCACGTAACTTCCAAATGTCTTTGCCAGCGAGCCATGTTGTTGCACCTTGTTCTTTGTAACTACTTTGCTGTTCAACTACAACCACAGACTTCTCATCCAAGGTCTCTAACTAGCCAGGAGAACATTTGCGATGGATGCACATCTACATATCTACCTTGCCTTCTGCAAATTTACGGTAGTGTAAGAGTGACGTTGTAGCTGCGACGGTCTAGAAATTACGCAAGGCAAGGATTTATTGGGGTGCTTCGCTTGCTGTGCCAGGCTTCCTATCATCAGAGACCTGAGGAAGAATGTCTTTACATTCAAAAGTTTGTCTAACTTTATCCCAACTACATAGTTGGTCCAATAAAAGGGATTACCCTTTTCCTTGCCTTCTGAAAACTTAACAGACACTTTAGGCAGGTAAACACCAAACTGCCCCCCCTCCTGGACTGTATCTCCCAAACAACCTCTAAATGCCCTTTAAAAGGCCTTCCAGGGTTAATTTTCAAGCCAACTTTCTCCAGCTGTAATAAACATCAATCCAGATCCTGTATTTCTACATGCTCTGCCAGTAAATAAGCAGCACCGGGACCGTGCTCTCTTCTCTCTCTGCGGCACAAGTGTTTGTTTCTGAATGGCATCAGGGTTTGTGCTTGCAAAGCAATAACGCTTTAAGTGGGATGCCTCATCAAGGGCTCACTAGGACATTGTTTGTCTAACCAAGAGCAGTATTGTGAACTTCAAGACATGTCCCAACTTCAGAGAAGAGAGCATTTGATGCCACACTTCGTTGGGCTTAACATCCCAGATTCCACTAAAGTGCAGCCTTGAGGGAGAGTGGGCAGGGGGAGGGAGAACCACAGCATGTTGGCCGGGTCAGAGCAGCCCCGGCTGGCCGGGGGTCCAGGGGTCAGCCCAGGGTGGCTTTGACCCAGCTCAACATGCTGCAGAAGGGCTGGCTGGGCCACAAGGGTGCTCCAGTGTGGGACTAACTGGCAGGCAGCCCCCGCGCTGAAGCACCCTTATGCCCCAACCAGCCCCGTCAGTGCCTACACATGCATTGCAGGGCACTAAATAACACCGCCGCAGGGCAGTACTTGTGTGTACAAGTACTAACCTATGGTAGCGTTTATCAGTTTACTACAGCCTAATAGGGCCGAACGTGTAGACGCGGAGCTTTACTGTGGAGCTGATTAGGCAACTCGGCAGTAAACTTCTTGTGCAGATGCACCCAGTGACTCTCAGGTTTGGTTTCAATGCTGCCTTCCTTCCCCCTCTCTTTGTCTGTGCTGTGTCTATGCAGGTACAAACTTCTGAATAGCAGAATTTGTTTGGGAATTCATTTGACTGAGCCAACTAATTGGGGCAGAGATGTTAGACAAGCTTTTGGGCACAAAATGCCCTTGCTTAGGTCCTTCTCACCTGAGGCAGGGCAAAATCTTGCCTGACCTCTCTCCCAGCTATACAGTCGGTCCAATAAGAGAGTTTACCAGTCAGTTCTTGTTCCTTGCACATTCCCTAGGCCATCACGGCTACACTACAACTCCTCCTTTAAGTCCGGCACGCATTCAAATGAGGGCCAGCACCATTAGTCAGTGAAACTCCAGTGATGTAAAACTGCTCTTGGAGAGGGGGGAATCTGATCCCTCAGTTGGAGTTTCTGTAAAATCTCACAAACACTAAGAGGCTTTTCATTAATGGCCAAGACATGCCCATCGTCGAGATCGCAGCACGGCTAATGAAACAAATCCCTGCAGAACCCAAAAAAGAATGACTGCTTTATCTCAAGTCCTGAATGAGGCAGCATTTTGTTTCCAGAGCGACGCAGAGCCTCAGTCCGCTCTCTCATTAGCCTAAATCCAAAGGGACTCCATTTGAGTCCCTGGCATTTACACGGAGGTACAATCAGAGTGAGGAGACTCAGCGTCCGGCTTGTAGTGCAGCAATCGTGAAAGGAGGACTTCGTACTATCATGTTACATGCCCCCACGGAGAGAGACAAGGGCAGCTTTGTTGTGACTGAGCAAGCAAGTATTTCAAAAAGCAAAGGATACTGCTGGAGTTTCTGCTTCTGGTTCATGGAGCTGCTGTGGGTTATGATTTTCTTCAGGCCGGCAGTCCAGTGGTTGGCATCGCTTTCTGAACTGGCGATGAGGTCCAGGTTTTTCCGCTGGTCTTTGAAGATGATAGAGAAACAGCGATTCTCTGGGACATCCTGGGCATACTTTTCCATCCCCTCTGTTTTGTGACCAGGCCTCACATCCCGAATATCTTCAATGGAGACTGTGGAAACAAAGAGGCGCCGGTTATCAGTGAGGAGTTAGTCGGTCTTATCTCTGCTCAGAGACTAACCAGTAGCTTTTTTTTCCCCTTTTCCTACAGCCACTCCCTGCTATGTCTGGAGGATATTCTTCCCCACCTCTTGTACAAAAGCAAGGTCAGTGGTGGGAACAGCAATCTCAGGAAGGGAACCATCCCTTTTTTCTGCTGAATATCTACTCCTTTTTTAGCAAATAAACAGGACTCACAGTGGCAGGGCTCATATTGCGAACGCAGGACTGATTGTCAGGAGATTTGGGTTCAGTTCCAAACTTTGTGGCTGGCTTGACCTCTGGCAGACAGGCCACCAAGACCAAGATTTAGAAATGTCAGACACTGCTCTGGGTCCTGATCTTCAGAGATCAGATGCAATTGGAAACATTACACTTGATCAGATGTCTCAGGCTGAAGAGCCAAAAAAGGCCCCTCAAATCAATGCTCCCTTTTGTGGCTCCAGAAACCCGATAACATGCACAAGCGCCCTCTCTGCTTTTGGTACCTCCTCTGTAAAGTGGAGAAAATAGAAACCCTTACCCTGCTTTGGAAAGTGCCCTGAGACCTTCAGCTATTACCCATAGCTAGACGTTCTCCATGCGTAATTATCATTAAGTTCAGAAACTGGGAAAGAAATTGTGCACGTGGGAGGAAAATTAGGGTCCAGGCACTCATTAGTTCAAGAAGAATAAAGCTAAAAAGCAGTTGGGCGCATTGGATCAGCACAGCAGAGTCAGACGCTGTCCTCATTATCACACGCAAGCTACTCCAGTCTTGACTCTGAGGACAGATATAACTCCATGTCCCGCAGGGAGACAGACAGTTCGACTACAAACCACGCCTAAGCAAAACTGGCCCAAGAAGCAGCTAAACTTGTGCCAAAGAGTCCATATTCAAGCAAATCTAAACACACGCACATACAGAAGCACGTGGGGCTGGAAACCTCGTGTTAGGTTTCATAAAGCTCTAGACCAACGGTTCTGAACCGGGGGTACACGTACCCCCAGGGGGTACGTGAAGCCTCATCAGGGGGTACAGGAGCTATATTTCATACAAAGTCTAACACAGGTCAAAGGGACTAAAAAAAATTAATTTCCCATTGAAAGGGGGTACGTGAAGTCTTACTCTGAGACCAAGGGGTACATCAACTGAAAAAGGCTCAGAACCGCTGCTCTAGGCTTAATTATACAGGGCGGCGTCCAACGAAGCCTGCCCAGATCATTAGAGGGACTGCATCCATCATATATCAAGCCTCTCTTTCCTTTCATGGAGCTCCCAGGTCACATACACGCATTCGAAGGGATGAATGAAGGCAGATCTGACTGCTGAGAGACACATCAGGTGCAGGAGGGTTCACACCAGCAGAATTCAATCATTAACTGAAATGGCAAAATTGACTGCTACTGACTGTATCTCCCTTTGCTGTAGTGAGGTACAGAGAGTACCCGGTATCTCTGAAGAAAGAGTTGTGTGCTCTTGATGCAGTGACGAAACACTGGGCAGTCACCATCCTGCGAAGCCTCACCAACAGGAGTAACCTCACATAAGAAATCCCACTGGTGTCCATGGGATCTGGGAGTACTTGGTCCCTTTCAAAATTCAAGCCATTTGTTTAGGTGCCAAACTTCAGGAAGGGAATCTTGCAAAACTTCACGCCTCTGTTTATTCCTCCTCAAAATGGCAAGAAAAATATTTCCAGGCATTGCACGGTGTTGTACTACTTAGAGATCCTTAGATGGAAAGTAGGATACAAGTGCAAAAAGTAGTGCCATTAGTTAGCTGAAGAGAGAGGGCAGGGTGACACCTTAGAGCCTAACTGGTTTAGAGGGCCATGAGCTTGCATAGGTGACAGCCCACTTCATCAGACACTATGAATGGAAAGGCAGAAAATTTTATATATATCTAAAATTCTCTGTGCACACCACACGTATGTGTGTGTATGCATATAAATATGTATGCATATATAAACACATATATACAGAGAGAGAGAGGAAGAACGACCAGAGGAATGAGAAAACTGCCCTTTGGGATTTGCAGGGATTTAATTTTTCATGTGCTGTTTAAGGTTGGTACAATTTCACTTTAAGTGCTGCGTTCATTCAAACCAAGCTGACTGCAAAAGCACCGTGCAGAATAAACCCAGCAAATGTGTAAGCTCTGTGCATGGTGCACGATTTCCAAAGACTCATGAGGGCTCATAAGCAGTTTATAGAGGTCCATTTCTTCCTAGGTGACTGAGCTGCCAGAAAAACCCTGGAAAATTAGTCTCAAAGAAATCTGTAACTATCCAAAGCCAACAGAAGGGTTTGTTTTGAGTTTCAGCTCATAGCTGTGGAGTCCAGACTGTTTCTGGGGTGCTTTGTTGATTTTGTTTCTATCCTGCAGCAATTCTCCACCAGGGTGCCATGAGAGCCTTTTAAGGGTGTTAGAGGTAAGGACCCACTTAAATCATGGTCCAACTAATCAATTTTTGCAGGCTGGTCACAGCGTAAAAAGCAAATTCTGCAGATATTTGCCAGCCAGCCTGGCCCCTCAGTGCTGATTAGCGGGGAGGCCCCAGCGGGAGGAGGAAGGATGAGGGGGTGGCTGTCATCTTCCCTGCTGCCCTTCATGCTACCCCTCCAGCCAGTGCCTTCCCCCCCAGGTGAGCTGTGAGGCTGGGCTGCAGTGGTAGCAAGGATCACCGGGGAGCCAGCATTTTATTTTGTATTACTTTTTTTTAAAGTTGATTTCACAAACAATCCCGCGGTTCAGCGGGATCATGACTTGAGCAGACCCCCTGCTACAGGGTGCTGTGCAATATTAGCACTGTTAGGGGTGCAAATACCGACACGTGATTCCCAAGATAACCCCAGAGATTTCCAATGGGAATCCAGTGTGTCAAAACATGCTGACCTGCTGTGGGCTTCCTGAGTTCTTTGCAACAGAAGAGCTGCTCTAGTTTTCCGTCGTTAAAAAATGAGTGCAAGCTACCAGCTGGCGTTTTCTGAAGGTGCCTTGAGTCTAAAACGATTGAACCACTGCTCTACAGCTGGAAGAGCTCACCCGGCGAAGCACGGTTCAGCTCTATCTGTGACCGATTACCTGCATCTCATCACCTGCTTAAAGGTCACGGCCTTCCTGAGAGGAGGGTTGCTGGATAACAGATTTCTGTTGGATTTGTGACTGTGATACCTCATCTGTGGTCCTCATCCTCAAAGCAAGGAAAAGAGACCTCATCCTCAAAGCAAGGGAATGGCTACTGTTAGGAAGCTGCAGGTTAGCAAATGAACTAATTAAGCAAGCAAACAAGAGAGGACTTGTGGGCATGGAAACGGTAAATGACGGGCTAAGGATGGATGTCTTTTTTTCTAAAGCTTTATATAGCTCAAAGATTGCCCTGTATTCCTCTGTACAGACAGGAGCTTTGAAGCCAAAGAAAATGGTCTCTTTCCAAGCTGTATCTCTTTGGTGCCCTTGGAAATTTGGGAGCCAGACTCAATGCAAATGCATTATCCACAGCAGTGAGCCCAGTGCCCACGTAGAGCCAGGGCTAAGCCCAAATTCACAAATGCTGCATACAGTGACATGCAAAAACCAGCTAGCCAGAAGCACGCATCAGAAAACCACTAAGGAAGAAGATGGAAGGACTCTTAGACTAGAGGAAACATGGATGGGAGACAGTGACCCATCTGCTCTACCCAGTGCAATCCCCTTGCAGGTTGAGTTGGTGCATGGGCGTCACTCCGAGCAGAATGGAGCCTAGGGAGTTTACACCTTGCTTCCTGGATGTTACTGTCTGCTGAAGAGGTGCTTCACATAAAACCCCAATCATGAATCAAAACTAACAGAGGTTTGTGTAGCTCTGGCCTCTAGACACCAATTCAAACAGGCCAAATCCAGTTCAACGTTTCCAATGACCTACAAATGCATCATACGCTCTGAAGCTACCGTGTCTGTGATTGGTCATTATCCTCCTTCAATGAGATCTACCCACACTAATTTACCACCAGTGTAACTCCACTGAAATTAATGGAATTCCTCCTGATTCAAGGCAACTTAAACGACATGAAAAATTGGATCGATGCTTTAACCCTCCCCCAGAAGAGTCCATTTTGCTAGCTGCCCAGCACTTTGCATCCTCTTTCCTACTGTGGCTGCATCTATACATACCATTAGTGCACAGCAATAAACTGCAGATATTATTGCCCTGCA